TGGGCTGCAGCCAGGGCTGGTGGCCCCCCATGTCTCCCTCACCCCGTCCCCCGTCCCCCTCCTCACCTTTCCTCATGAAGCGTCCCTGGCTGTGGTCCATGATTTCAGAGGGGATGAGGGTGTAGTTGGCCATGGCGTTGTCCCGCATGGAGATGAAGCTGCAATGCTGCTCCAGGGCTTCCAGTGTCTCCGGTGCCAGCGGGCAGCCCAGGAAAGCGCTGAGCCGCTGTGCCGTGCCACGCAGGTCCTGCGGCGGAGGGGACAGTCAGCCTGGGGCAGCCGGCGGGGAAAGGGATGGGGACACGCCAGGGCTCACCTGGTGTAGCTCCTCGTAGGTGACATAGAAGATGTTCAGGAGGTGCCGCTGGCCCAGCCAGCCCTTGACGTGGTCAAACCAGGAGCCATAGTGCACTGGAGGGAGGTGGGGGTGACAGGGGGCCCTGCAGCTGAGCCCCAGCGCCCCGGGAACCCCCGGCCCTTACCCGTGCCCTCGAGGAACCGTGTGAGGAAGGTGTCGAAGGAGCCGGGGTCAGGCAGGAACTTGGCCAGGCGGTGGAAGTGGTAGAAGGAGACAGCGACGTCCTTGGGGTTCCTGGCCACATAGATCACCTGGGGGGTGACAGTGTCAGCCACATGGTTGGGGAGAGGGGGGGATTCCGCTCCACCCCATTCAGAAAGCCCCTTGTGATCATTCCAGCAGCGGGAAGTCCCGTGGGCATGGGATGTCCCCACGGGGACCCCCCCTAAGACCATCCCGCCTCCCCCCCCTCACCTTGGCCTTGCTCTGCTGCAGGGCGGGTGCCAGGACGCGGGCGGGCAGGTGGGGGGTGTGGAGCCGTTGGGCGGCTGTGTCCTGCAGCGCGTCCCTGAAGTAGATCTGCTCCAGCCAGGGCGCCCGCTCCCAGTTGGGGATGGTTTTGGCTGGCAGGGCATCCCCATGGCTGAACAGCAGCGTCAGGATCTCCTGCATCCAGGTGGTACCTGGGGAGGTGGCTGTCAGTCACGGCTCGGCACGGCACGGCATGGCTCGGCACGGCACAACGTGACACGGGGCAGCAGTGCCGTGTGGGACCCCCAGAGCCTCCACCAGTCACACCATTCTTCGGTTGGGGACAGGACAGGACTGGGGCAGGGGATGGTGTGGGGGTGGCTGCCCCCCACCCTCAGGGCAGGGTTGTTTTTGGGGGGGAGGGGAGGGAACTGATGGCTGGGGCTGGGTTCTCCTGTGCTGTGTCCGGAGGGGACAGTGGCCACCAGGCTGCGAGGACTCAGGGACTCTGCCCAGGGAGGGACTGGCCCCGAGCCCGGCCACCTCCCAGCCACGCAGGCAGCTCCCGGTCCTGCCGGAGAGCC